CCCAAAGTTTGTGGGAGGAAGATTCTGCCATCCTGGAGTTGCAGCCATCCCTCGGGGTATTAATTCTGCCCAGTTTTTGTGCAGTCATGAGATCTTCATCAGTATACTTTGGCGACTTGCTCAGCACCGGTGGGGGGATAACATTAACAAGCAAGTGGTCCTGTGGTAAGCAGCATCCTTGGCTGCTTGGTCCGCCTTTCTATTTCCTGTCGCCTCCTTTGAGTTTCCTTTCTGATGACCAGGGCAGTGGATAATGGTGACTTGCTTTGGGGCCCATATAGCTGCCAGAAGGTTCAGGATTTCTTCTTTGTTTTAATAGTTTTCCCTTCTGCAGTGAGAAATCCCCTCTCTGGTAGATTGTCCTGTGCACGTGCGCTGTGGCAAATGCATATCTGCTATCAGTGTAAATATTAACTGTTTTTCCCGCTCCTGTCTTTAGGGCCTCCATTAGGGCGATCAGTTCTGCTTTCTGGGCTGATGTTCCTGGTGGTAGGGGCTCAGCCCAAACAGTTCCTTGCAAAGTAACCACCACCATCGCGGCGTACCTTATTCCATCCTGCACAAAGCTGCTGCCATCTGAGAAGAGTGTCAGGTCAGGGTTATGTCTCAGGACATCTGCGAGATCCCAACATAGTTTCTGGAACTCCGTTACCTCATAACAGTAGTGCGGGGGCCCCAAGGAGCTCTCTTCTGGCAGCAAAGTCGCAGGGTTTAAGCAGGGGTACGCCAGAGCTTGATCCGAGGCTGATCTAGCAACAGTGCTTGATAATGAGTTATACGAGCATTAGACATCCATTTATCAGGGGCCCCTCGGAGCAAGGACTCTACAGCATGGGTGGCCGTAATGGTTAAATCTTGTCCCATGGTTAGTTTGTCTGAGTCTTTTACCAATACATCAATGGCCGTGACAACTCACAAACAGAGTGGCCAGCCTGAGGCCACTGGGTCTAGTTTTTTTGATAGATAGGCAACTGGCCTATTCTAGGCCCCAGCTTTTGGATCAGGACCCCTCAGGTGACGCCACACCTCTCCTCTACAAAAAGATGGAATGGCTTCTCTATGTCCGGCAGGGTTAAAGCCAGGGCTGAAATTAATGCATTTTTGAGGGCCTGGAAAGCTTTGTCGCCCTCTGGAGTCCATTGAAAGCTAACCTCTGGTCCCTTTGTGATTCCATATAAAGGCTTGGCAAGTTCAGCAAATTTTGGGATCCAGAGCCAGCAATATCCCACTGCTCCCAGGAATTCTTGGACCTGCCTTTTATTACTTGGGGCTGGAATGCCTGTTATGGCCCGTATGCTGGTCGGTTAGAGACCTTTTACCCCCTTGGAGGTTGTAGCCAAGGTAGGTGGCTTTTGTTATGCAAAGCTGGGCTTTCAGTTGCTGACACCCGATACCCCAGGGTTTGAAGCTCTCTAAGGAGGTCTTGGGTTGCATGCAGGCACTCTGTTGTTGTTGCGATTAACAGATCATCCACATACTGGAGCAAGGTTACCTCAGGGTGCTAAAATCCTGGAGGTCTCAGTGCAGGGCTTCATTGAACAGCGTAGGAGAATTTTTAAACCCTTGGGGGAGCCGGGTCTAAGTTAATTGGCCATTTTCCCCCTTGTCTGGATCCATCCATTCAAAGGCAAACATATGCTGGCTCTGCTTGGCCAGGGGAATGCTAAAGAAGCCATCCTTAAGGTCTAGGACAGTGTATATTTGTCTTTCGGGGGAGAGCCTGCCCAAGAGGGTATACGGGTTAGGGACCGTGGGGTGAATGTCCTCCACCCGCTTACTAACTTCCCTTAAGTCTTACACCGGCCGGTAATCCCCTGTGCCTGCCTTCTGGACCAGGAGCAGTGGAGTGTTCCAGGGCGAGTGGCATGGCACTAAGATTCCAACTAGCCATAGGCGCTGTATGTGAACTGCGATGCCCCTCCAGGCTTCCTGGGGTATAGGGTACTGCTTTACCCTAAATAGGCACTGCCTGACTTTTAAGTTGTACAATGACCGGCGGTTGGTGGGATGCCAGCCCAGGAGGGTTTGATTCAGCCCATTCTTGGGGAAACTCAGTCTGTAATTGAACCAATAGGGAGGTTTTTGATGAGTCCAGGGGGAGCTTATTTTCAGTTAGCACATACTCCTTACTTAGGGGGACAGTGATAAGAATTTTTGATACCTCCGGCTGAGTTAGGCTTACCACTGCTATGGTTTCTTGAAAGCCTATGTTGGCCTTGAACTTGTGTAAGAGGTCCCATCCTAGGAGCGGGTACAGGCAGTCCGGCATTACTAGAAATGAATGGATTACTTCCCCCTTCCCCAGGTTTACCATTCTTTCGGTTGTCCAGGGGACCAACTGGGTTCCAGTCACTCCCTGAACCAGGGTCTGTTTCTGTTGACGGGGGCCGTTATCCCTTTGCAGAACTGAGATTGCAGCCCCCGTGTCCACTAAGAAATGGACAGACTTGCCCCCAACAGTCAGCTTTACCCTGAGCTCTGGGGGGTGTTTCTAGAGCCCCGGCCCCATCAGTCTGTTTGTAGCTGAAGTACCATAGTAGACGGTGGTGGTGGGTACTCCTCCAAACAACGGGAGGGAGCCTGTGCTTGGGGCAGCTTGTCTGGGCAATTCTTTACATAGTGTCCAAACTTTTTGCAGTAGGCACATTGGTCCTTTGCCAGCGGCTTTCTTTTTGCATTCCTGCTGCCTTTCCCAGTTGGTTGTTTTGGTTTGGCTTCGTCCAGGGCTGCTACAACCACTTTGGCCACTCTCTTAGCCTGCACATCCTCCTGGGAGTCCCTATTGTTAAAAACTTCAAAGCCCTCAATTTTCTGCAGTTTCTTTCTTATGTCTGAAGTTGACTGGGAGACAAATACTATGACTAGTGCCCTCCGGTTTTCAGGGCTTCAAAGTCTATCGGAGTGTACGTCCAGTAGGCCTCCAGGAGCCGTTCCAGAAAAGTGGTGGGAGATTCCTGTGGGCCCTGAATAACCTCGCTTACCTTGGATAAATTTGTTGGGCACCTCACGGCGGCCCAGAAACCCCCCATTAGAGTCCGGCAATAAGTGGTGAGACTCTCCCTACCATGGTCAGTGTTGGGGTTCCAGTTAAGTCTCTCAGTGGGGAAGACATGCTCCACACGGGACTGCTCCACAGGCCTGCCATCTGGTCCCAGCACCAGCTTCCTCACTTCCTGGTGGATTCTCTCCCTCTCTTCTGCAGTGAAGAGAGCTTGGAGAAGCTTTTGGCAATCATCCCATGTGGGCTGGTGGGTATAGAAAGTAGTTTCTAAGAGTGATATTAGACCTTGGGGTCTTTCAAGAACAGCAGGTGTTGATTTTTCCAATTGTAAAGATCACTAGTGGAGAAAGGGACATATACCATAAAAGGCGGGGCTCCCGTCCCTCCCATATCAACCCCTAGGGCCTGTCTTAAGGGGAGAATCACCAGCGTTTGCATCTCTGGTTTTTCCAAAGATGAATCCAGGCTTGTTGGTTGAGGGGGACCCATCGGCTCTCCTGAGGATTGAGGGGGAAGCAGGGGATAGATGGGCTGATAGGGGGACCTGCTCCTAGTGTGTGATGGGCTGAGAGCCTCCTGAGCCCCTTGTTTTCGCCCGGGTGCAGGATGTGATGGGAGAATGTCATCATCCTCTGAAGGACTCTGGAGGACTGGGGGTTTGGCTTTAGGGGTTTCCTGTAGAGATAAAATGTGAGAAAGGTTATTACTTCTCTGGGCCTTCCTCATCCATGACGATTGTTGCATTACCAGGAGGTACCAGGCTGTCATGTACAGGATCTGGTCCGGATGACGGCGACAGACAAACTGACGAACTCTCTCCACTACAGTGGGATTGAAAGTCCCCTCTGACGGCTAGCTGCAATTAGGAAATATGGGCCATTCGAGAAAGCAAAAGGTGGTTAGTTTACCCTTGTTTACCTGGTCACCCAAGTCTTGTGCCATTTTCTGAAAATCCTTGAAGTGACACAAGACCAGCTGCAGAGGGGTGTCAGTCTGAGAACATTGTTGTTCCATGATATTGACAGTTATGACAGACACAACAGCGATAAACACCAAACACAAAAAAGACAAGGACAAGGAATGAACAAAGAGACTTGACTGCCTGAGGGCAAAACAGGAAATCCCAGTGACATCTCACTGGGACCTCAGATCCCAGAATTAGCACTGCATCCAGCTTTCCTGAGGGTCCCTACAGGAGTGCACTCAAAACAGAAATCAGGAACCTGACTTACTTCTCTGAGGGCTTCCATGGGCGTTGTGAGTCTGTCAGAGATACAGGCCTAATCAAACCCAGAGAGTTCGCAGGGACGCAGCCCCACAAGGCCCGTTGGTTAAAATGGGTGTAATTTAAGCACTTGGTTCTCCCAGACGACCCCCCAAATGAAGTAGGATCCGAGAGCTTAAATCACAGACACCGACACAAAGTTATAAGTAACAAAGGAGAGGTTTATTAGCCAGATTCGGCCATGGTCAGTGGCCACTTGCTGGATAATGAATTACAAAGCAAGGGCAGCCAACTGCAACACAGGGCTGCCTTAAGTAGTTTAGACTTACATTCTAGTGGGCTAAACATAGAACTTGGGGTTTTCTGGGTCTCTTATCACATTATTCTGCTAGCATGGGAAAGCAAGCAGTTTTACAGAAGCAGATATAGCCAGTTATGCAGGTGCAGTGGATAAGGGTATTATTAATTTTGCAACGTTTTCAAAACAACTTTCAGGAAGGGAGTGAAGTCCGTGAAGCCTGCTCCAAGCCGCTTCTTTGTTCTCCCCTTACATTCCCTTCTTTGTTCCCTCTTACAGGTGGCTGAGATGGAAGACATGCCTGAGCCCAGAAGGTCGAGACAGTGGTGAGCCATGATTGTGCCACTACACTGCAGCCTGGGCAACAGAAGGAAACTCCAACTCAATAAATAAATAAGCAATAAATAAATCAGTCTGTGCCACCAGCTGCAGCCGGCGCTGCTCAGTTGTGGTTGTGCCCATGGTGCGCAGGCACTATGTGCACATCCCACGATGACTGGCACTGCATGCGTTCCATGCTCGAGTTCTCCGCCATTTTATGGATATGAAGTGAACTGGAATACCTAAAGGATTTTCTGTGTATGTTAACACATAGGGTTTTTCACCAGTGTGAGTATATTTATGTTCTTAAATAAACTTAAGAGAAATAAATGCTTGCCCACATTTCTTACATGCATTCCTTACATTCCCAGTGAGAGTTTTTTATGGTCTTGAAGGAAACTGGAACGTCTGAAGAAGGCTTTGCCACATTTCTTACATTCACAGGTTTAGCTCTCCAGTGTGGTCAGCCTGGACGGTACCGGCGCTTCGTGTACATCGTCACCACCATGGCCTCGCAATGAGGTAAAACCAACGTGAAACCGGGCTCAGTGGCTCAGCCTGTAATCCCGCGCTTTGGAAGGCTGAGGTGAGTGGATTGCCTGAACCCGCGGGTTTGAGACCCACCTGGGCAACCTGGTGAGACCTCATCTCTACAATAAATCAAAAAATTAGCTGGGTGTGGTAGCACGCGCCTGTGGTTCCAGCTACTTGGAAGACTGAGGTAGAAGGATCACCAGAGCCCAGCAGGTCGAGGCTGCAGTGACCAGGAGCAGCCACTGCACTCCAGTCTGGGTGACAGAGTGAGACTCTAACTCAAAAAAAAAAAAACCGACGTGAACTACACTCAGCTCGTCGATCTGCACACCCGATAGGCTGAGTGCGGTTTGCGCATCCTGGCCTTCCCCAGCAACCAGTTCGGGAGGCAGGAACCAAGGAGTAACGAAGAGATCAAGGCATTCGCTGCAGGCTACAATGTCAAGTTCAACATACACAGCAAGTTCTGCATGAACAGCAATGATGCCCACCTGCTGTGGAAGTGGATGAAAGTCCAGCCCTAGAGCTGGGGCATGCTGGGAAATTCCACCAAGTGGAACTTCACCAAGCTCCTCCTCATCAACAAGAATGGCTGCATGGTGAAGCATTACGGCCTCATGAAGGAGGCCCCGGTGATCAAGAAGGGCCTCCCCTGCTATCTGTAGCTCCACAAGCGTGTCTCCTGAGTCCCCGTCTGCGACCCAGAGCCCTCCTCCAGCAACCATGAAGGTCTGCCTGCAAACCAACCACTGGTGGGGTGGACCCTAGACTCGTGGGCACCAACCGAAGGGAGGTCCCTTGGCTGTCGGCTGGGCTCAGTGCCCCCAACTCTGGCTGTCTTGTGGAATAAAAAACAAATTGGCAAAAATAAATAAATAAATACAGACTCAAAGAAATTAGAAAATACATCTGAAAAGGGATTTGTATGCAAAATATACAAAGAAACCATAAAACTAAACAAGAAGACAACCCAATTAAAAATAGGTATAGGTCTGAATAGACACCTTACCGAAAAAGACATACAGATAATGTTCAACAACAGTTGTCATGAGGGAAAAAGAAATTAAAACAATGAAATAGCATTGCATAGCTATTAGAATGACTATAATGAAAAAACAAAATACAATAGCAATTGCAACAGAAGATTCCCATTCATTGCTGGTGGGATGCATAAGGGTAGAGCCACTTTGGAAGAGAGTTTGGCTTTTTCTTCCCAAAGTGAAACATAGTCTCATTAGATGTGCCAACAATCAGACTCGTAAGTATTAATATTTAGATAACTACTTTGAAAATCTGGGGCCCTTGTCTTCTGAGCCTGAACATTGGCCTTGGTCCTGTCTTCTACTGCTCTACATCCTACTCTCCAGGATGTGCAGGTGGCACTGCCACAGCCTCTGTCCACCCTGTGACCACAGGTACTGGAAGATCTGTAGTGAGGACACTGAGACACCTCAGAAACCATGATGTGGGTGTCTTTGAGGCTGTGGCTATGAACTTCATCCAGAAGGAGTGGGCATTGTTGGATCCTTTTTTTGAAGAACCTCCATAGAGGTGCAATGCAGGAAACCTTCTGGAACCTAGCTTTTATTGGAAAAAAAGAAGATCAGAACATTGAAGATCAGTACAAAAAGTTGTGGAGAAATTTAAGGTACATAGTACCCTCTGGAAGAAGGCCTTTTGAGTGTGAGTAATGTGGAGAAAAGTCATGTAAATATAAACCATGTCAGAAATTCTTCATGTCTCTCACAACAGGTCAAAGAGAAACAGTAATGCACAACTGAAAATGAATATTATAACTGTAAAGTATGTAGGAAATTCTTTTCTTTTTCCAGTTCATTTCAAACACATCAGACAACTCACACTGGAGAGAAAATCTATGCATGTAAGAAATGTGGCAAAGCCTTCAGACGTTCCAGTTTCCTTCAAGACCATAAAAAACTCTCACTGGGATGTACAGAATGCATGTAAGGAATGTGGGAAAGCATTTATTTCTCTTAAGTTTCTTCAAGAACATAAATATACTCACACTGGTGAAAAACCCTATGTGTTAACATATGCAGAAAATCCTTTAGGTATTCCAATTCACTTCCTGTCCATAAAATAATTTACAGTGGAGTGAAACCCTATGAATGCAAGAAATGTGGTAATGCATTCAGTCATTCCTGTCATCTTCATAGGCATAAAAGAACTCATACTGGAGTGAAATCTTATGAATGTAAGAAAAGAAATCTTCCAGTCCTCCTAGTAACTTTCTTCACCATGAAAGAACACATACTGGAGAAAAATCCTATGCATGTGAATAATGTGGTAAATCCTTCTGTCATTCCAGTCACCTTTCATTACCATTAAAGAACTCATACTGGAGTGAAGCTTTTTAAATGTAAAGAATGTGGCAGAGCATTCAGATGTCTCAGTTCCTTGCAAGGACATATAAAGCTAAAGCAGGGTAAAACCCACACGCATGTAAGAAATGTAGTAAAATGTCCAGTCTTTCCAATTTCCTCTGGAAACATTAAATAACTCATACTGCACATAGACCCTGTAAATATAAGGATTGTTATAAAGACTTCAGATGATCATGTTCCCTTTGAATGCATGAAAGAATTCACAGTGGAGTAAAGTCCTATAAATGTAAGAAACGTGTTGATACCTTCAGTTGTTAAAATTCCTGTAGAGAACATGAAAGTTCACATACTGGAAGGACATCCTGAACATAAGGGATGTAGGAAAGCATTTAACTTTTATCCGATTTATTCAGAGACTTAAAGGAAATCAAACCAGAGCAAAACCCTGTGGTTGTAAGAAATATGGTACAGCCCTCTACTTTTCCAATTCTTTTTGAAAATTTGAAAGAACTCAAAACAAAAAAGGACTCACACTCAAGAAAAGACTTATGAATATACAAAATATGATAAGCCCTGTAGTTCCAGTTGCATTTGGTGGCATAAAATCACTCATTCTGGAGAAAAACTTTATGACTGTCCTAAATGTGGGAATGCCTCATTTCTTTTATATTAATTTAAAAACACATTATAATACCTTAAAGTGTGTTGGGTGTATAAGTGTATTGAAAGGCATCTTTTTCATTTTTTATTTTAAAGATGTGGGGTACAATTTAGGGTGAAATTCATTTTAATTTGTATGCAGGTTTAAATTTATATAGTTGTTAAATTGTTCTGTGATTAATTGGCCATTGTATAATGAGTATAATTTTTAGAATTTTTTCATTGACTTTATAGGACAGATTTTTTATATCCATATATAATGTCTGCATAATATATAGATAACACATATCTAGTCTTTTATTTGTATGGCAAAACTACTCTTTTTTTAAAAAAAGTTTATTTTCTTTGCTATTGAAAAGTTAGTGTCAATTTGTAAGTATGTGAAGTTTTAGAATACAGTCTTGGGTGAATTGTTGTTTTCATCTGTTGCTCTTCATCATTACTTTTGGCTATCACCTGCACAGGTCACTTGGAATTAAGTAGTGAAACCTGTAAGCACAATGTGTGTGTCTAATCTGAGAAAGATAGCATCCAGTCTTACTATCAAGTATGGTGACAGCTGTGGTTTTTGTACATTTCTTATAGCAAGTTCAGAAACTCTTCTGTTGTTCATTATGTATTGAATGTTTCACTGTCAATTGTTGTTGAACTTTTTTATATAGTTTTTCTGTATCTATTGAAATGATCTTGTATTTTTTAAAGGTACTCTATTAGTATGGTATATTACTTTGGCTTTTAGATGTGAAAGCAGCATGGTTTTCTGCACTGACTTACATGAAAAATCACTGCCCAGATCAATGTTCTAGAGCATTTTTCCAATATTTTCTTTTAGTATCTTGACAGTTTCGGGTCTTACATTTAAGTATTTAGTCCATCTTAATTCGATTTTTTTATATTGTGAGAGATAAAGATCTAGTCTCATTATTCTGCATGTGGTTATCCAGTTTTCCCAGCACAATTTAATGAAGAGGCTGTATTTTTTCCATTGTATGTTTTTGCTACTTTTGTCAAAAACATGCTCATTGTAAATGCATAGATTTATTTCTGGGTTCTCTATTATGTTCTATTGTTCTCTGTGCCTGTTTTTATGTCAGTACCATGCTGATTTGTTTGTTGTATGTTTTGAAGTAAGGTATTGTAATGCCTCCAGATTTGTTCTTTTTGTCCAAGATTGCTTTGGCTATTCAGGGTCTTTTGTAGTTACATGTAAATTTTCAATTTTTTTAAATATTTCTGTAAAAAATGCCATTGATATTTTGATATGGATTGCATTGAATTTGTAAATTGCTTTGAGTAGTACAGACATATTTACTCTTATAACCCATGTACATGAAATATCATTACTTTTTGTGTCCTCTTTAAAAAAAAAAAGAAAAAGAAAATCTGGGAATTCTATCTGAACAAACACCAGCCTGTAATTATGTGCAGCTACTGTCTTCATAACGGCCAGATACTTCAAGGAATCAGGATGACCTTCAAGAAGTGAGTGAACAATAAGCTGGGGTACATTCTTGCGAGGGACTACTAGTCATCAGAGAAAGGAGTGATCTATGAAGCCATGAAAAGGCATGAATGCAGCTGATATATATACCACTAAGTGAAAGAAGAGATCACATACTGTATAATCCCATTTCTATGATACTTTGGAGAAGGAAAGACTACAGAGATGCTCAACAGATCTGTGATTGATCATGGTTTGTAGGGGGTAGGGAGTGAGTTGAGCCGGGGAATAGGTTGATGGAAGAAGGCACTCATGGGCCAGGTGGGAGTGGGCTCTGGTTGATGAGATCATGGTGGGTATGTGGAAAAGTTTGGGGTATATGCCAGCATAAACAAGAAGGCTACTTCTCATTCTAGGAGAGAAGGATTTTCTGTCATCACACACAAAACTATTTTAGCACCAGTTCTGAGGAATATTTTGCTGTGTGTGTGATAAAGATACATAGCATAAAATTTCCTTTTTAACTACTTTTAAGTATATAGTTCAGTGGCATTAAGTTGTGCAACCACCACCGCTATCATTTTACATTCCCACCAGCAAGACACAAGGGTTCCAGTGTCTCCACATACTAACACTAAACTGATAGCAAGTTTAGTTAGTTTCCATTTTTTGATAATAGTCATTTTAATGGGTATTAAATGGTATCTCGTGGTTTGGATTTTCATTTCCTAATGGATAGTAATATTGAGTATGTTTTCATGTGCTTATTGACATTGGATTTGACAATGATTTCTTGAGTATAACACAGAAAGCAAAATATAAAAGATGCATTGGCCTTTATAAAAATTAAAAATGTGCATTAAAGAACACTATAAGGAAAGTGAAAATGAAACCAATAGGAATGGGAGAAAATACTTGCAAGTCACATATGTAATAAGGGTCTGGTATCCAGAATACAGACTCAATTTTTTTTTTGAGTTGGAGTCTCACTCCGTCACCCAGGCTGGAGTGCAGTAGCATGCTCACGGCCACCCCAGCATCGACCTGCTAGGTTCAGGCGATCCTTCCACCTCAACCTTCCAAATAGCCAGAACTACAGGCATGCACTATCACGCCCAGATAATTTTTCAATTTAGTGTAGAGATGAGATCTTGCCAAGTTGCTCAGGCTGTTCTCGAACCCATGGACGCAGGCAATCCGTTCACCTCAGCCTTCCAAA